TTATTGTGGCAAGAGCTTCTGTAGGAATTATTATTAGTATTGGTATTAGTATTAGAATTATTTGTTTCTACCCGGCCCATCTGGCTGGGTTTCCCCAACCACTCTGGGTGGCTTTCAACAGAACAATAAAAACAGAATAAAACTTCAAACATTAAAAGCTTCCCTGAACACAGCTGCCTTCAGATGTCTTCTAAACGTCTGATAGTTGTGTATCTCTTTCACATCTGATGGGAGGGCGTTCCACAGGGCGGGCGCCACTACCAAAAAGGCCCTCTGCCTGGTTCCCTGTAACTTGGCTTCTCGCAGCGAGGGAACCGCCAGAAGGCCCTTGGCGCTGGACCTCAGTGTCCGGGCAGAACGGTGGGGGTGGAGACGCTCCTTCAGGTATACTTGGCCGAGGCTGTTTAGGGCTTTAAAGGTCAGCACCAACACTTTGAATTGTGCTCGGAAACGTACTAGGAGCCAATGTAGGTCTTTCAAGACCGGTGTTATGTGGTCTCGGTGGCCGCTCCCAGTCACCAGTCTAGCTGCCACATTCTGGATTATTTGTAGTTTCCGGGTCACCTTCAAAGGTAGCCCCACATGGAGCGTGTTTCAGTAGTCCAAGCGGGAGAGAAAACACCTCCTTCATTGGATGCAGACCTATGGAGCGTATGGAAAGGAGAGGCTCCTGGGAAAGCTGCTCCTTCCTTCCTTCAGGTACTTTCCTTGTTCGCCAGAAGAACCCTTAAACCCATGCTGCTTTAGGAAGCCTGCCAAGGAAAGCTTAGTCACGGGTAGTTTGGCTGCTCTCTCTTGACACCGAACAGGTTCCAAAACTGAAGCAGGCACTCCAAAACAGCAGAGACTCCCTTATATGTACACACAACTGAAGAACCACATTTGGGTGCTTTCCAGAAGAACATCCCCTGCAGCCTCCATGTTCAGGTTTCTGCCACGTTGTCGTAGGCTACTTTAATCTGGAGAAATCAAGTGGCTGAAGCTTTTCCTGGCATGAGAACAAGGGGTGGGGTGGAGGAAGCATGGCCTGTTCAATTCCTGTGCTTCAGGATCCTGTTAAAGCAGGAATGGGGAACCTTAGATTTGGCCCCCTCTGGTTCTCCGTCTGGCCCTTGGGACTCTCCCCAGGGCACGCCCTCCTGAGCCACACCCTTCTCCCGCTTCCTTTAAAGCCCTATACGACCTTGGACCCTTGCACCTACGGGACCGCCTCTCCTGGTACGCCCCGCGGAGGACCTTACGGTCTACAAATAATAACACCTTGGAGATCCTGGGCCTCAGAGAGATTAGGCTGACCTCAACCAGGGCCAGGACCTTATCGGCCTTGGCCCCGGCCTGGTGGGACGCTCTGCAACAAGAGATCAAGGCCCTGAGGGATTTGACATCTTTCCGCACGGCCTGCAAGACGGAGTTGTTCTGCCAGGCCTTTGGTCAGGGCTCAACCTAACTCTCCTTTTCTTTTTGTATAAAAACTAATATGAAAGAGGCCTCTCAGCATTCTCACAGGCCCATATAAGATCAGCGTAAACAGTTGGGCCGATGAGTACTTACTGTTCCCAACCCTAACCCTGCGGAAAGCCATCTAATTAGACTTTAATTTGATTTTGACCTGTTTTTAGGAGGTAGTTTAATTACTGTTTGATTTTATACTAATGTTATATATTTGATGTTAGTCGCCCTGAGCCCGACTTTGGCTGCGGAGGGCAGGATATAAATAAAAGTTTGTTATTAATTATTATTATTATTATTACTACTATTATTATTATTAGCTTTTGCCTGGTTGGAATGAGTCCTTGAACCCTGCTCATGCATCCTGCTTGCCTGATGGAAAACAGAGAGGGGTGTTTGACCGTGAAGGAAGTCGCCTACTGTACAAAGGACAAAAATAACATCCATCGCACCCCCCACTTTTACATCTGGCCACCTGCCCAGAAGCTGGTATGTGCCCCCCCCCCGAAGGTTCCTCCAAAGGGATTGCAGATATTTATAGAATTACAGAGTCAGAAGAGGCCCCGGGGTCATCTAGTCCAGCCCCCTCCAACGTTGCTGGCCTCCATCTGCCATCTGCCCCAGCCAGCATGACCAATGGTCAGAGATGATGGGAGTTGCCCAGCAACATCTGAAGAGCTCCAGGGCCCTCTCACCCCTCTGCTATAAAGGTGCAGGGAGGTCCCTCCCTTCCTTCATACCGCAATCATCCAACCACGAGCCTCTGCTTTAAAAGAACATAAAGACTTGCCCTGTTGGGTCCAGCCAAGGCCCATCTGGCCAGCCGGAAGGTTCTGGGCATCCCCAAAGAGTGATGCTCTTTGTTCCTGGCATGCAGGTTAGAGCTGGGGCCAGCCAGATGTTGTTACACTACAACTCCTGTCACCCATGACAATGGGCTATGCTGGCTGGGGCTGATGGGAATCGGAGCCCAAAAACATCTCAAAGGCCACAGATTGACCATCCCTAATGAAGAAGCTGAGTCGTCGCTGGACTTGGAGGTGCCATTTGCGTGGCGAGTTCCCGTCCCCCCCAGTGGAAATAAAGACACATGACACAATTATTAAGATTAATGGGCTAAATAAGGCCACAACTTTATTGGTTACAGGTGATGAGCTGTATTGGCTTAGGCATTGGTCCTAACCGACTATATCCAGCTTCAGCTCATCCGCTTGAAGTCCGGGAAGGGTTAACCACCAGTAGGGGGAGTCCTGCTGATGCACATCAACTAGGAACTCCCCCAGGGTCACCGCTCCTTCGCCTCCATAGGCTTTGGGCAGGGCCACGCCCCCCAGAATCCTTTATCGGACTACCCTTCAATATGTGGGGCAGGTGATGGCACTTCCTCCCCTCTTCCATCTACAAAACAATACCAATACCAATGCCTAACCACCAATACCAAGAACGTTGTGACGATTTCCTACGAGGTAGGCAAAAACCAAGTGGCTGGTGCCAATTTGCCAAGTGGAAAAATTCCTACCAGGTCCCTCAACGGCGACCAACCAAGGTCTAAAGCAAGGTCAAGGAACAAAAACCTTAAAGGGAGGGAGGGTGGGAAACAGGAACAGCTGATAGGCGGGGAAAGAGGGAGATCCCTGGCCATGCCTGCATTAAATAGGGCAGCCCACGCCCCCAGAGCCAGCCGATTGGCTGGCCAGGGGGTGACGTGACCGGGGATCCCTCCAATCAGGTGGGGGCTGGGCTCCAGCCACCGCGCGCATGGTGGGGCCGTGACGCCCGCAATCCCACCTCCTCTGCAGGGCGGAAGTGGCTTTAGCTACAAGGGCTAATCACTGTTGGCAGACACTGTTGGCTATCGGAAGTCCAGCCACATCACCCACATTTCAAGCACATGGCTTCCCCACACAAGAATCCTAGGAACCATCGTTTACCCCTCTCAGGAACTGCAATTCCCAACAGCCTTGACAAACTACAGTTCCCATAATTCTTTGGGAGAAGCCAGGCCCTTCAAACGTGCTTTAAATATACGGTGGCGATGTGACCATTACACATAAGAAACGCCATCTTTTTGTGCCAGTTGGCTGCCTAGGATTTTGAAGGAGCGAAGGAAGGCAGGCAGGCAGGCAGGCAGGCAGGCAGGAAGGAAGGAAGGAAGGAAGGAAAGAAGGCATTCTCTCTCCTGCACCTCTCCTCTGCCCAACAACCACAAATAGATTTATAAGCCCATCACTCCCCATCAACCCCTCCTTTGTTGCCTTTTCTCTAAACTAAAAAGCCCCACAGACAAAAGCTGTTCCCGCCCATTGATCCAAAGGAAGTTTGTCAAACGGCTTTAAAAACAATATCCCCAGAACTGTAAAATGCACAGTTAATCCACGTACATAGTTAAAGAAGAATAATAGCTGAGATTAAGCTTTTGGCTTCATGGGCCACTGCAAACTCTGGTATCGCTCTACGGGTTCACTGGGAAGAAGCCAGCCTGACTTTTCCATTGCAAAAGCTTCTGCTAGCAATCATCCGTCCAATTAAAAACACCTGTCTTGTTAGAGGCTCTCTCCCATATCCGAGTAGAGAAACCTGTGCCAATTTTTGTTTGAGAGAGGGCAAATGTACTGTGGCTGCATCCCTTGTGGGGCTCTGTGAAACCACACGAAAGGTCCCACTGGTCAAGCAACAGCCTAACTTCCCACAACGACTAACTAGATGCCTCTAGGAAGGCAACAACTCCCTTCCCCAACCCCTGCCGCTGCCACTAACCTGCCCGTCCGCCCGCCCAGCTAGACATATGCCCGTTTGTTGGCTGATGTCCATTGAAACTGGTAGGATGGTGGGCAGGGAGCCCAACAGTAGGTGGCGCCAGAGCCAATGACTACTAGATGGCAACTTTAAGTTCGCCATTGCGAAGAAGGACTATTGCTACAAACAGGGGTGTGGGTGGCACTGCAGTCTAAATCACTGAGCCCCTTGGGCATGCTGATCAGAAGGTCAGAGGTTTGAATCCCCATGACAGGGTGAGCTCCCGTTGCTCAGTGCCACCTCCTGCCAACCTAGCAATTCAAAAGCACACCAATGCAAGTAGATAAATAGGTATCACTGTGGCGGGAAGGTAAATGGCGTTTTCCAGGAGCTCTGGGTTCCGTCATGTTGTTCCATTGCACCAGAAGAGGTTTAGTCCTCCTGGCCACATGACCCGGAAAGCTGCCTGTGGACAAACGCCGGCTCCCTTGGCCTGAAAGAGAGATGAGTGCCACAACCCCATAGTCGCCTTTGACTGGACTTAACCATCCAGGGGTCCTTTGCCTTTTTTAATTTTATTTTACAAACAGAATATTGTAAGTTCAGCTGCATATTTCCCTGCATCAGGCCCCTTCTCAACACATTACAGCAGGCATCTACCAACTTGGCCCTCCAGCTGTTATGAGACTACAATTCCCATCATCCCTGACCACTGGTCCTGTTAGCTAGGGATGATGGGAGTTGTAGTCCCAAAACAGCTGGAGGGCCGAGTTTGGGGATGCCTGCATTGCAGGCATACCTCATTTTAATGAGCAGCCTCCATAGCTCAGTTGGTAGAGCATGAGACTCTTAATCTCAGGGTTGCAGGTTTAAGCCCCATGGGGGAAAGAAGATTCCTCCATTGCAAGAGGTTGGACCTCATGGTCCCTTCCAGCTCTATGCTGGAAGCGCTTTATTGCGCTTCGCGGATATTGCTTTTAAAACACACACACAAAATGAAGGACTGGAGGAGTCATCATCGAGCCAAGACCCTCCATCAGCAAAAAGATCCTGACTTGCTGAAGGCTCAGATGATGGTTACCATTTTTAGCAATAAAGTATTTTTTAATTAAAGTATATACAGTGGTACCTCGGGTTACATACGCTTCAGGTTACATACGCTTCAGGTCACAGACTTCGCTAAGCCAGAAATAGTGTTTCAGGTTAAGAGCTTTGCTTCAGGATGAGAACAGAAATCGTGCTCCGGCGGCGCGGCAGCAGCAGGAGGCCCCATTAGCTAAAGTGGTGCTTCAGGTGAAGAACAATTTCAGGTTAAGTACGGACCTCTGGAATGAATTAAGTACTTAACCCGAGGTACCACTGTACATTGGTTTTTTAAAAAACATAATGCTATTGCACACTTAAGAGACGACAGTATAGTGTAAACGCAACTTTTATATGCACTGGTGGGGGGAATTATGCGACTTGCTTTATTGCAATATTCGCTTTACTGCGGTGGTCAGGAACGGAACCCCGCAATATCTCGGAGGCAGGCCTGCATTTACAAATATGACCAATGGACAGCAGGAACAATCCCTGTGCAACAAACATGCTATGGGCATAGCCAAAGGGGGAGTGGGGCAGCTGTCCCCCCCAATCAAATAAATCAATAAAAATACTTAACTAACTGGGGTTCTGCTCCCCTCAACATAAAGCCTGCCCCCCAACATAAATCCTGGCTACATCCATGAAACATGCCAAGCCCTAATTTGGTTTCGCCCTGCTTCTCTTCTTATTCCTGAGCTGTCCCACTTTTCTAGTTATGGCCACATCTCACTTTTGTCCCTGGGGGACATTTAAAAATTAGTTAAGGGGGGGGCGGGCGGTTCTAAGAAACAAAGTGAGAACCAAAACAAGGCCATCCTTTGAAATTCACAGTTACCTGAATTCTGTGACGCACTTCTCCAACTAACCAATGCTCACAAAAAGGCAGATTATATGGGGAAAGCGTGCATAAAAAATGAATATTTTTGTTAAAAAAAAACAACCATACAAAATGTGTTATATTGGGGAAACTGCTTGCCAAAAAATAAATAAATCGCAAATTTACTGCAGAGATGTGGAGAACTGAATTTAAGATTCGAAAAATGAGAAACTGGGAGGAACAAAATAGACACATCCTTCCATCTATAGTGGTCCCGTTTTGAGTGTTTGTGCTGGAATGAGCTTGAAATAATTTGATATTCCTTGCCTCCTGCTCTTTATTGCTGCATTTCCTATTTTAATATTGTACATGCTTTCCAGTGATTTTATCAAATATCATAAGCCACCTTGGGGAAATGTCGCATTTTGAAAAGGAAGCTAACAATAAATAAATACATAAGCGTGTTGATGTGAGATTACTGTTAATCTGATGCCATGCAGTGTTAAGAGTTGTATCTTTTGATTGTACTTGTCAGAGACTGACAGTGCAATCCTATGCATTTAACTGTGTTCTAAGGTCCCAGGTCTACATGATGGTGGTGACTCTAGCACAGGGGTCAGCAAACTTATTCAGCAGGGGGCTGGTACACTGCCCCTCAGACCTTGTGGGGGGCCAGATTATATGGCGGGGGGGTGAACGAATTCCTATGCCCCACAAATAACCCAGAGATGCATTTTAAATAAAAGCACACATTCTACTCATGCAAAAACATCAGGCAGGCCCCACAAATAACCCAGAGGTGCATTTTAAATAAAAGCACACATTCTACTTATGTAAAAACACGCTGATTCCTGGACCGTCTGTGGGCTGGATTTAGAAGGCGACTGGGTTGAATCCGGCCCCCGGGCCTTAGTTTGCCTACCCGTGCTCTAGGGCTTGTGGGAGTGGTATGATACAGGGAAACCAAAGAAGGATGTCAAAAGCACCAGAATGGCCATTTTTGGAACTTTATTAAAGAAGGTGTCAATGTGCAACACACTGTACAGAGCCTTGCTACCTTTGCAGATGCAGGTCAAACACCACAGCCAATCTGGGCAGCTTCCAACATATATAAAAAACATGATAAAACGTTAATTTTTTTTAAAAAAACAACTTTCCTATAAAGGGCTGCCTTCAGATGACTCTGGGTCAGAGAAATCCATACCCTCCAATGTTTCTCTGATGAAAACAGGGACATCCTACCATACCCTCCAATATTTCTCCAATGAAAATAGGGATGTCCTAAGGAAAAGTGGGACATTCTGGGATCAAATCAGAAACTTGGGGTGGCTTCTATAAATCCAGGACTGTCCCTGCCTGGAAAATAAATAAAAAATTAATTTTGTTATTTATTTCGACCACGTCAGACCAACACATCTACCTACCTGAACCTGGAAAATAGGGCTACAGTACTTGGAGGGTCTGCAGTTTGAGAGAAATTGTGGTCCTCTCTGAGACAGGCCGTCTCTCGAGTTCCTTATGGATAGGCAGGGAGGGGAGAGAAGGGACACAGATGCCAGGGACAGTGGGAGCCAGTGCCATCGGTACAATTTGGAGGTTCGTGATGCGTGCCAGTAAATGTTTAGTATGCATAGGCATATACACCATGCGGCCACAACTGGATATAAAAACACAGAGTTCTTCTAGGGACAATTGGTGTTCTATGTAAGGAAGCTCTGGTTTTCAAATGATTATTCTGAACCGCCAGGGGGCGCAAGAGGCACACGGACGGAGACGCGACTGGAGCGAAAAACCAGCCTTGACACCAAGTAGGAAGCTGGAGGGGGCGGTTCCCAAATGTGGGCGGGTCTGGTGCGGGCTGCTGGGCGGCGGATTGGAGGAAAGCAAAAGGGGAGGGGCGACGAGTCTTACCTACGTCGTTTTACGTCCCTTCAAGCGCGCGCGCGCATGAATATACATATTTCTGAGGCGAGAGCGACGTCACCCGCCGCGCTTCCCCCGTCCTCCTTACGGAAGAGGTGACGCTTTTGACGCGGGGGGTCAAGGGCGAGAGGGGCGTGGCCGGCGCCGGATCGAACGTCCTTGCGAGTCGTGTGTTGGTTGGAGGGTGTGGCCTCCGGCGAGGAAGGGCTAGCCTTAAGAAACCGCCCTCCAGTCTCCGCCCTCGCATGAGGGAAGGGAGGCGTGGCCTCAATCCGAAAGCGGGTGGGGTGAGGGGGGGCGGGACGGCTGGTTGCCATGGGTTCGCTTCCGGCGCTGTCTGGCGGAAGTGGCTGGAATTCTGCTGCTGGCTGCCGTTTGCTGCCGTTGCCCTCGGTCAGTGCGCGGGGAGGCGGGGGGCGCCCCTCTCGCCGGAGGAGTTGGGGGGCAGCGGGGCCCCCCCAGAGTGAGGCGGGCGGGGGAGAGAGGTGGGCTGAGAGGGGTATGGAGGGGGAAGGGACGGAGGGGAGGGGGAACCGAAGGACACGAGGGAGGGAGCAGGGCAGCCCTTCTCCGCCCCGCGCCCTATTTAGCCGCGTATTTAGTAGCGCCTGTGCTTAGGGAGCGAGCCTAAGGCAAGCGAAGGGGCTGCTCGCAGTCGGCCGGGAGGTGGGCGCAGAGAAGGAGCCGCGAAAGGCCCTGTCACGACTTTTTAAAGGGGAGACCTCTTCCCTGTAGGACCTCCCTTCCCCTGGTCAGTAAGAGCGCAGATAAACAGCAATGTCCTTACAATATATAGTAGCCCAGTATCGTTTTCTCTCACAGGTAGTAGCTGCCCCAAATCTTAAAAGCTGCACTGGTGTTTGTGTGTGCATATATATATACAGACACAGTGGTACCTCGGGTTACATACGCTTCAGGTTACATACGCTTCAGGTTACAGACTCCGCTAACCCAGAAATAATACCTCGGGTTAAGAACTTTGCTTCAGGATGAGAACAGAAATTGCGCAGTGGCAGCGGGAGGCCCTATTAGCTAAAGTGGTGCTTCAGGTTAAGAACAGTTTCAGGTTAAGAACGGACCTCCGGAATGAATTAAGTACTTAACCCGAGATACCACTGTGTATATACACACACAAGATATATGTGTGTGTGTGTTTATTTTGACCTGGGATCTGTTGTGATGAAGGGTGGGCTAGAAATGTGCCTAATAAAGAAAAACATTATGGCCCTGTTTATAATAATATATTATTAATAAGAGTTTATTTATAAGCCACCCATCTGACTGGTATCCCCCAGCCACTCTGGGCAGCTCCCAACAAATCAAAACACTAATTATTTATGTGACCCCTGCAATCTATGTGAGGGAAGGTGTGTGACAAGCGGTCCCATCTGTCCTTCAGCGTCAGGCAAGAGGTTGCATTTTAGAGAAATGATTAGATGACTGCCCTCCCGGGTGGTGTTTGCATGAAGCAACAGAGTTATTCACTGGAAAGTTCTGGTCTCAGTCTGTGTCTATTATGTTTTTATAAGTGTTGGAAGCCACCCAGAGTGGCTGGGACAACCCAGTCAGATGGACAGGGTACAAATAAATAATTGTTAGTGGTAGTGATCAAGGCTTATGTAGGAATGAGTTGCTTGAAAGGCAGAAGGTTTTTAATCCAGTTTTATATGCTACACAGGGGCATGGTGACTGAGGCCAGAACAATTAGCGACGCAGTGTTGTGCCTCCGACCAGGGAATCCTACTGACATTGTTTAAATCCAGTAAGAACTTGTGTCTTTTTTGAGATTGTGTCTAAAAAAAATCTACAGTACTAAGAGATGTGGAACCAGGCTTAAGGACAACTGAGGAGAACAGCTAGACACTGAGGACAATGAGAGTGCTTTGCTCCATGGGTTTTCTGTAGCGGAGTTTATGATCATTTGTGAAGACTGAACTTCCCCTCTGTGAAATGGAAGATTCCACACGAGCCTTAAAAAAGACTTGAAGGGGATTATCCTGGCACCAGAAGACCATGCTGCCATTTGTTTTAGTGGTGGCTAAGGCTGCAGGAACATTTCAC